GACTAATATATCACCACACAACCATATGCGGGGACAGATCTAAGTTAATCATAGTGAGGACACTTGCCCCACTAAAAATTTTTTCATTCTTTTTTATATATAAAGTATTAATAATTTTATAAAATATATATTATTAATTATATTTTAATTATGTTGTTATATCTAATATAATAAATATAAATATTTTTTTTATATTTTATTTTATTGTTTAATTGTTTTTTATTTTGTGGTAAAATTATTTTCATTTTTAATGAAGAAAAAATTTACTTACTTCAATAGTAAGTCTTGATAGATTTATTCTATTTAATAATTAATGTTCTATATCAAATTTTTAAGAATTTAATTGTTAAATTAAAAAGTTTTTCATGTATAGATCAAATTTATAAAAAATTTTAAAAAATTAAAAATCATATAATACTTCGTTAAATTAATTCAAATTAACATATAAAATATTTTTATTTTAAATGAATGTAAAAATTTAGAGGACACTAAAAGAAAATAAATTAATAATTTTATTATGTTTATCCTATTAATTTTTATCATTTTATTCCTCTAATTTTAAATAAGTTACAAAAAATTATAAAGTGAAACTTAAATATTTATTTAGATAGAAAGAGAAAAAGAAAAAGTTTTCACTCTATTTATAAGATAATTGTATTTTATAAAAATAAGTAATTTTAAAATTTGTATCATAAAAAAATATTTTTCAAAATTATTATATTTTTTAATAAAATTAATAAATAATATTATATTCTCAGTTTTGGAACGGGCTTGGTGTGTTAATTTTGCATATGGAACGGCCCGTTTCAGATGCAAAATTAACACCAAGAGTGTATCCAGAACGGCCCGTTCTGGTTCCAGGTATTTTCAAAAAAATTGTCATCCACGTGTCATCCACGTGGCATCCACCTATGCATCTATGTGGCATCCACGTGGCCAACAGTTAACACCGTTAAAAAAATTTAAACGAAAGTCTCACACTGAAACCAATTAATTTATTAGAGACCTAATTGAAACCAATTAATTAGTTTGGGACCAAATTGAAATCGAAAATAAAAGTGGGACTAAATTGAAACAAACAATTATTATAAGAGACCAAAATAGATTTTTAGCCTTTTATAAAATATAACATGACTGGCTACTGTTAATTAATACAAGTAAACTTTAAATTTATGAGATATTATCATAAATCCTTTATACGTTTTTTATTAATTAGTACAAGAGATTACAATAGTAACAATAAGAATTAACTTAAATTTTTATCCGTCTATTTTTTATGTAGCACAGATTTAGATATGACATGAAGATATAATCCAGACACAAATATAAAAATATAACAAAATTTAAAATTATAAGATACGTAAATACGACATATACACATTTTGTAATATAAATAATATAACAAAAATATTATATATTAATATATCAATAATTTATTAAGTCTAAAAAATAAATTATTTAAAGATAACATATTCTATAACAATTTATTTTAAATCTCAAATCTTTCCTTTATTATTTTTCTGTTTATTAAGATTTTTTCTCTTTTATTACGTGAAAGTTAACTAAGGAGAGATAGAACAATTCTCTACTTTATTTCTATTTTTATAAAAAAAAAATTAAAAAAAAACTCAAATCTTACCTTTTTTATTTTTTATTTTTATCGAAATTTTTTATTTTTTTATTAAATTTAAATTCTTCCTTTTTATTTTTATTTCTATTGAGATTTATTCTTCTTCTTTTAAAAAAAATATTAAACAATTTGTTTTCTATTTTTATCAAGATTTTTTCTAAAAAAAATATTAAATTCACGTATTGAATAATGCATCAAGATGTATCTGTGTTCATTTGTGTATTTACAATTGAGATACATCAATTTTATAAATATCCATAATAGAGATGTGTTTAATTATGTAGACATAGCTTGTCAAAGTATTTATAGCGCATCCACAATGTATCCGCTCCTAAAAAAAATGTAAAACTTAAAAGGCACAATAATCTCCATGCAACATAGGTGTATTTCAATGTCTATTGCTATATACCAACTTTTGAGTGCTAAATTTATACCAAGTACATAAGATATATATAATATAATACCCAGTGAAGGATCACCCCTCCCCCTCCTAAAAATGTGATTTCATCAACATAATTCTACACGTCATAATTTTAATCTACTAGTTACCAATTTTGCATATTATGACATTATTTGTACACCAATCTAGTCTTTTAAGATAACTTATTTTCCTCATCACTATTTTTGAGAATTTTTATTTATCCAAAAAAATTTAAATCTCACATTATAAATAATATAACTAAAAATATATACAAGTAAGAAATAATATAAATTTTATAATCAATTTTATAAGATTGAATTATATTTAAATTTATATTCTAAAATAATATTATAATTATTTAGATTTACTCTAAAAAAATTATTTATCATTTGATACACTGATCAACTCTAATAGTATTAGACGCGAGAAATATATTAAAAAAATACATATTTCATCTATCTCATATCATTATCCATATATCAAGTCCAATTATATAAAATAAAAAAAATATATTAAAAAAATTTAAACCTTACAGCAATTAAAAACAAAATAATTAAATAATACATAAATAGAAGATAAGTCTCATTATTTAATAATGTTGAATTAAGTAAATACTTACGTTTTAAGAACATTTGAGATCTCAAATTCAGATATTTATTTTTCGTTAAGACGGGAATGAAAAGAAAAAAAATGGAAGTAGGATCCAACTTCCATACCGAGTTAGAAATCCATTTTATTGGCTTTTTATTCATGTGGGATAATTTTGTCAGAAAAAATTTAAAATAAGAATATAGGGAAACTTCTTCATAAATATTTTTAAGAAAGAGAAAAAGAATAATTTTTTATAAGTTAAAACTAATTTATATATAAATTAATTTGTAAAAACTTGTTCAATTAACTTCTCTAAAATCTATTTTTAACTTATATAAAAAAGTTAATTTAATTTATTTTATTTTATTTTTCTCTCATATAAGTATTTCTAAATAATTTTGTCCATCTGAAAATCAAGAAAAAATAAGTTATGGTTTTTAAAGACAGTACATATAAGCAATGGAAAAAAAATAATCTTTTATATTTTATAGGCAAAATTTCTTAACCATTTTTACAAAATTAATAAGATAGGAAAAACAGTGTCGCCAACTCAATTTTCATATGCACTTATTGCGTGTTTGGATACGCGATTGGAGATCTAGACGCACGTATTTTTGTGAAAAACGTGATTCTTCCTGTTGAATAAATGTTTGAGTTTTTTTTCATCACATGATTTTAAGGGTGAAAATTGATTTTGGCTGAAGCTGAAAAAAATAGCTTCTGCGTTCATGATGTTGATTTTGGTAAATCAATTTTTCAAACGTAAATCCAAACACACATTTAATAACGAGAATAAAAAATACAAAAAGAAAATAATAAAATAAATACTATTTATTTTATTTTTATCTAAGTTGTTCTTATTGTGACCTTTGTAATATTTATGATATAATTTAAAAAAAAATAGGAGAGCAATTGTCCCATAATCATACAAGTACATCCACCACCGTATACAACGCCTGTGTTGAGAAACACAACTTCAATAAAAGTTTGATAAATATGTATTATTTTGATATTATTATTGTTATTTAAATAAAACTAAAGTCATTAAATAGAAAGTAAAAAAAATCACGCCATTTGTATTTTAATCAAATTCTTAATCGTAAGATAAAAGCCGTGAATAAGAAATGTGGCACATATATTTTCTTAAAAATTTTTCCAGAAGTCACGACCTTATGGGTTAATTATGTTTATTTTCCAATGTTGCGATTATTTTGTTTATTCACGTAAAAAATTAAAATCAATAATTTATAAGGTGACTCATATGAATCTCGGGTAGCCAATAAATTAAATTTTTTTAAAGGAAAAATTGTCATCGGAGACTTACGTAAGCTTATTAAATACAGATTGGTGTAACACAAGCCTATACAAATTATCCATTTAATTATAGACTTAAATAGTAGAGACTGAACTGTATACCCAACTTCAGATGAAGTGACAACTTAAAATGAATGAATAAATAAATTAATTTCCCAATTATAAATAATCTATGGCAAACAATTAGACAAATATTGTTCATTCTTTATTATTATTGTCGCAATCTCTCTATTAATTCTCTTACCAACTACAATATCGAAGTCTTTATTCTGATTTCATCCCTATCCTCCCTAGAGCTACTACACGTACATCTTATCCAAAAGAGTTTAGAAAGATTGCAATTTTCATAATGATTATCGACATTTGTTGTAATGTAACGTTACTAAGAAACCCATATTGAATTATTGAATTATTGAACTTATTCTTCAAGACAGAAAATATAAAACTGATAAGATGTAAAAATTTACAGATTTCTAGGTTAAGATGGACATAGGTATAGGTTCCATGCGGTTTCAGGTTTGAACATTCAAAATTATTTTACTATTTTTGTTAGTATTTCATTAAAATTAAAATGAATTTCCAAAGACGTGCTCTTTTAAAATCAAACCACATAAGATCATGACATATTTGCAGACCAGATTCAGAAAATAAGGAAACAAATTCATATCAACAAGTTCCTTTTTCACAAAACAAAATTCATAGGATTCCATGAAAAACACGAAGGATTTTCTTGGGGAATTATTCGATTCTTCTTCTCGTAATTAAGGAAACAAAATGATTCAAATATCCGGAATCGAAATTCCCAGATAAGGAAGCATGCGCTTGGTCTGATCCAACAAAAGGAAACACGAAAGGATAAGCATGATGAAAAACAACAACAACAACATTAAACGCATTCAAGGTAAACGGGCTTTTCTGGTCCCTCTCCGTGCCACGTCATACGGAACGTGTCAAATCCTTTTTTCTCTCTCTCTCTCACCCATCACACTTTCTTTTTTATTTTCTTTTATTTTTATTATATATATTAATCCTTCTTTCTCCACCCCACTCCATTATTTTTATTTTGGGTCTTATCTCTATCCTCATTTCTCTGCAACTCTCTCTCTCTCTCTCTACTCCTTTGGGAGTGTGCAGATTGATGACAAGAAACCCCATTACGTGGAAACCCAAGAGGAAGAGAAGACGAAGAGGACAAGGATAAAGGGTAACTAAATCGCTGCTTCTGTGGCTTCGTTCTTTCCAATTTCTGCATACCTTTTTGCGCCAGATAAAAATGGAGTTTTTGGTGGGTCCCGCTTTCACGATCGACGTTCCGTCGTCTCCGTCGCCGGACGGCCACCCCGACGAGCGGATCTTCCTTAACGGGTCGCCGGAAGATGATGGGCCGAACTTTCGGATCTCGGGCCCATCTAAGTTCTTCGCCGGCGGCGTGTCGGAGAGTTCGTCGTCGATCGGAACCCCCGACGACAGTGAGAACGAAGAGGAGGAAGAGGAAGTGCAGAGCAAGCTGAAGATACGAACTGGGTTGGGTTCTTTGGATGCTTTGGAGGATTCTCTTCCCATCAAGTTAGTGTCTTTAGTTTCTCTCTCTCTCTCTCTCTCTCTCTCTTGTGCCCACCACCTGTTTGATTTTATTCTTGTAATCATCGAATGTTTTTTTTCTTAGATCCTCTTTGGTTGGTTAATACTATGTTTTGATCAATGTTTTGGGTGTTTATAACTACTAAACAGTAACTAGTAATTGGTATGCGACATGTGTGTGTTTTAATTTGATTTTTGGTTTTGGATTATGGCATCTGATATGGGGATATGTTTGGGATTTTTGATAAGCGATGCAGGAGGGGATTGTCGAGTCATTTTGATGGAAAATCGAAATCGTTCTCAGATCTATCTCAAGTGAGCACTTTGAAGGATTTGAAGGAGTTGCAAAAGCAAGAGAGTCCTTTCAACAAGAGAAGAAGGGTTCTGATTGCATCTAAGTGGTCCAGAAAATCAGCTTTCTATTCCTGGTCCAACCCCAAATCCATGCCTCTTTTGCCTGTGGATGAGGATCATGATGATGATTATTATGAAGAGGAGGAAGAAGAAAAAGCTAGAAAAGTTCCCTCTGCTTCCTCTTCTTCTTCCTCCTCCCTGGCTGAGGAGAAGAAACAAGAAGATCAGGTTCAGCTGAGGCTCAACAGAGTTCCACAATCTTATGCTGCTGAGATGAGGCTAAGACTTGGAAGCTTCAAGTCAAGGAGCTTTTCTCTCGCAGATCTGCAAGAGCATGATGATGAGGAAGAAGATGATGATGTTGATTAATTAACATTTGACATAGCTTTTTTTTTTTTATTCTTTTGTTATTGTTGTTACTAAATAAAATTAAATAGTGTTAAGTAAAAGTAACTATGTTAAAAAAAAATAAAAAAAAATTATCCTTCTGTTTCTACCTTTTTTCTGCTTAAAAAAAAATGAATTTTGTTAATAGATATACTGTGCATATCCTGTGGGTCAAGGGCAGTAATGAAAGCTTCATAGTTCATATAATGACAGGAGCTCTGAGCTTTACTTTTCTTTTGATGGTGCTTGTTTGTTTGTTTGCCAATATAAAGTGGATATGGATATTGGGACGGACACAATTAGGAAAAGATAAACGACCAAAATTGGGTGAACAATATTAATACGATTGACTCTTTTGCTTTATTTTTCTATTTTTTTTTTCATAAATTGTGGCAAATGGGAACGAGATAGGTGGCGGATAGTAATTGAACCAAGGTCACTTGGTTAGTATTTAGAGCGTATCTTGAACAAATCTTATCCTATCCTTTAAATCAATACTTCTCCCAAAAAAGAAAGACTATTTTTTATTTTGTCTGTATTAAGTTATTATTTATGACTTGTAAGTTGTGTCCTCGTTGTCTCTTGTTCAATATGAATCGAATTTGAAGTGTATGGTCTTGATCTACCTAGGAGGTAGGCTTCACCATTTGGGTTTCTTAGTATTATATCTAAATTAACGCACCAAAAAAAAATTCTAACTTGTCTTCCTTGCTTATTGGCTAAGTGTGTAACGTGGTTCTTGCTGACTTTTCTAGTCTAACATAAGAGATCCTTTATAGGATTCATCGGAATTTCTGCCTTGGATATGTTGGTGGGGGAGTGTGGACCCCTTCCATTATCTCGGATAATTAGTGGGAATGAACATAGGATTCTTGGTGTGTTATTTTTTAAAACAATAGTTTTGTTTAGATCAAAATACAAATAATCTTGCAAGGCAGAAGATTGCATCTAAAATTAGTGCTGTATTTCAAGCCTTTTCTTTTTTTATTTTTTGGTTAAGAATAACAGATTATCCGCTGATAATTTCAGAAATCACATGTCAATTGCCTAAACATATTAAATTCATGAGGCTCATTCGTTGATATTATATTCTAATTATAAAGGTAATTATATATTGATTAACACTATTTAATAAATTTTAAAAACTCCATGTTGATGGATTTAGCCGAGATCGAACTAGGGAAAAACATGGGCAGCATTAAGGTGTTTTATTTTTTAGGTTAATAAAATAAAGATTGAGCTTGGTGGTGTTTAAAGTGGAAATAGAAAAAGATAAGAAAAAATGAAAAAGTAGAAGGTGGTTGCTGTTTGAAGATTCCCATGTGTTGATGATAGAAACGTATAGGACTTTGACAAGATGTTGGTGGAGGGGCTGCATCTTTCTAGTTGCCGCTGCAAGCCTGTAATACCATTTCTCACTCCCAACAAACAACATTTTTTTTTGTCTTATATTTTATTTTCCTATATTTATCTTCAACAATTAGTCAATTGTATTGTTTCACATTATTTCATACTTTAATTTCAGAAAGAAAGAAAAAATGAGGAGAATTTGATTGAAGATTTAAGATTATATCATTTTCTGTTGCTAGACTAAAATAATACTGTGGAAGTGAAACTCATAAATACAATATCTTTAGTTATTCAAAATAATTGTATGTTTTTCTTTTACATCTTCCATCTTTTCGCACAATAGAAAATATTTTTTTTTTCTTCTCTTATTTTTCACTTTATTATAATAATGAAATAACAAAAAAAGTGACACTTCACATTTCTCTATGCATAATATTATTGAGGAGTATAATTATTTTTTTATTTTCAAATTCAACAAATAAAATGAAAGAGAATATGGAAGTTAAATAGTAAGTAATAATTCCCTCAAGTAAGAACAAATTAAATTATATATCTAAATAGTGTATAAATAAATGAGCCTCTGGTTGGATAGCATATATGACATTTTTCAAAAAGGTGAAAAACTCCCCTTTCCCAGCCCCAAAGGGGAAAAATATGAAAGAAATGAGAAGAATGAGTTGTTCTCATAACAAGTTGGTCAGAGACTCATAGGTTAGGTCTTAGGCATTGACAGGTTATCCAACTTACTCTCATCTTTATACTGAACGAAAAATGACGTGAACCTAATATTATGCATTTAATTAGAATATTCTTAACAATTATCTATATTAAATATGAAATATATCTTAATTTAATTTAAAGATATTCACGCTGTAAAATATTTTTACTTAATTATATGATCATAAATTTACATAATAAATTTATTTATTTTTATAATAATTATCTTTAAATTCATATTTAATATAATTTTTATAATTAATAATATAAACTTCTTTACATAATTAGTGTATAAAAATAATATATATATATATACATAATTAACATAATTAAAACATTTTTTTTCTCAACTTGAATATCAACATGCAAATAATATATTGTGAAATTAAGTATTTAAAATTGTTTAGTATTTAGCTTTACACTAAGCCTCTATGATAACTAACTAGTAAGTGACTAAACGTTTTTATGTAACTTATAAAACAATAATATTCGCGAAGCCCGAGTGACATGGTGTTGTGTTATTAATAGAATCACAATGTTGTAAAATAAAGATAATAATTATAATAATAAAATAAAATAATAATAATTTTAATTGGTTCGATTCTTAGATCATCCAATTTATAAAATGTAAATTTGTGAGTTGAATTAGTTAAAGTTAGATTTATTTTTTTATCTGACCAAGAAAAAAATAATCAATTTAATTAGTTTAATTTGGATCATGAATTTTATTAGATAAACCAAACCAACAAACACTCATAATAACACCTTAATTAAAAGAAATTTTCAATTGTTTTTTATTTATAACACTATGAATTTTGTGAATTATTGTTGATTTTATTTAATTATTTGTTGTTGTGTTTTATTATTTAATTGTTGAGAAACTATAAGATTTTAAGAATTCTTAAGAGTTTTCTATTATTAGGAGTTGTTCTTAGTATAGGTTAAGTTGACCTATGAGGGAAGAGTATATAATATTTTTCCTTAGAAGTGTAGTTTATAAATTCATTTCTTCATAAAACTTGGAAAGAAACTCTAGAGTCAAGATTCTTCTTTCTTCTTCTTAGCCTTTTAGAAATTGTATAAGACCTTTCCTTGATCGTAGTTGAGTATCCGAGTGAAGATTCAAAGCTTATAAAATTAAGAAGCAAGTGGTTGTAGTTTCTTATGGAGTTAGCTTGGAACGATCTTCTTCTTTCTTCCCCTCTTTTATCTTTATTCAAAGTCAAGGGAAGTTAGAGCTTAATTCCTTGATGATTTATAATGTTGAAATAGCTTGAGTTTCAATAAAATTTGTGGTTGTACTGTTGGTGTTTGAAATGAAATTTGAAAGTTTAGTTTTTGGGTTCTCAAGAGTGTTGAACAAAAATTGTTGGATTTTGTTGTCTAATGGTTGCATGTTTATTTTGTCATTGTAGTTGAGTTGTTCAAAGTGCCTACGTGTATTATTATGCTTTGCATGTGTGGAATTTTCCAAATTTCAAGTGGTTTAGACCAAAATGAGATTCTGCCAAATGTAGCATTTATCATCACACCGAGCACACTTCAAAGTGTTGAGCGTGATGTAGGCTTGAGGCTAGGGAGGACAAATAAACCATACCTGTGGCTAATACCCGAACTCGTCCTAACTTTGACGGGGAATACCTACAGGTAAAACTCGATATGTTAAATCGGGTACGGGTACGAGTATACACATACCCATCCCGTACCTGTCTCATATTGAATTATGTTAAAAAATTTAATATTTTATTATGTATAATTATTTATTATAATGTGAAACATTTATAGTTGTTTAATTATTAAGAAATCTCTTGATTAAAATATGAGATAGAGAAACAATTTAATTATAATTATAATATAATGAAAAAATAATTTAAAAGTATTATATTTTTTTTTGTAAAAAAAATAATAATAATTTTTACAGGTACGGGTACTACGAGTATACCCGATACCTGACGGGGATGGGGATGAGGACAGAAATTACATACCCGACGGATACGGGTACGGGTACGGGTACGAGAATGTGTTTGAGTTGCGGGGACGAGGACGGGTATCATGAAACTTGTACCCGACCCGCCCAGTTGCCATCCCTACTTGAGGCTCTCTACCTTACTCTCGCTGGGTGTGGGATTGATAGCGTTGAGTGTGAGACAAAGGAAAGTTCCTTAATGTGGTCACGTCAAGTGTAGATGCCTTTGAATCTCTCTAACTTAGTGATGTTGGATCCTAGTTGAGTAGTACATGTATGATTAAGACAAAAGTTTTATGCGTAAATGACGCTAGTCGCCAATGTTGTGATGTTAGGTGTGTGTCAGATAGAAACTCTCTGCCTGAAATGGGGTTGGACGTAGGTTTTGCTATGTTAAGCATGATTGACACATGTGTTTTCTACCTCATTTATGTCGGGTACAAGTAATTTGACACCGGGCATGGACGAGCCGAGGGCTCTCTACCTCAATAACGCCAAACGCAAGGAGAATGATGTTAGGCGCGAGATGCCAAATAGAAAACTTGTTGTTTTATTGACTATGTATTAGACATGTGTTAGCAGCTTACATGATATAAGTGATTCAAATGCTTTAAATATTGATCTAGGATAATGTATGTTAATGTTTAAATCATTGAAAATCATAAGTTTTTAATAATAAAGTGTAATAAGAATTCTGTTATATAGTATTGAATAATTTTTTAATAATAAAGTGTAATAAGAATTCTGTTATATAGTATTGAATAACTATATTGAAAATACTTAAAACTTAATATTGACTTTATGTTGATTGAATTAAAATTTTAAGAATTTCATATAAGGAAGTGCATAACAACATATACTTATAGAGGTGCTTGTGATTATAATTGGGAACCTGTTTTTAATTAGTGTTCAAACATATGTTACCCATTTTGAAATGGTGCTCATGTAAATTAGATATCATTTTTAGTCTAATTATTAAGATAATGATTATCAAATAGAAATCATTTTTGGTGTAATTATTAAGATAATGATTATCAAATTCAACAAACTTAGTATTCATAATTATTTATAATTAGTTAAAATGGTATGTTATTTCTTCATCGTGAAATCTGAAACTTAGGAACTTGGACTCATACAGGTGAGCATAGAAAATCTGTTCTGAAGTGTGAAGGTCAGCGAGGATCATATCATTCACATGGATACAATTACACAAAACTTCGATATTAACCATTGCAAATTCCAATAACCTCAACTCATCCCTTTTCAAGCAAATTGATTTGACTTGGATTTTTTTTTTCCAACTTGAGTTTATCTCATTCCGGTAGAATCGTATATAATTCAAACAATTGTCTATCATCCTTAACAAATGCGTAATTATCGAAATGAATCGTTAACAAATCGAATGTATGGTTATGCTCCGCATTTTTTATTTCAGTTCCAACAGAAAACGAGACAGTGATTTGAATATTGAACGTTCAGATCATGAGTAAAATACGTCGAAGGAGGATTGAATTCCAAGAGTACAAGACACGAAAATTTTATAACACGACCACGTATAACTTATTGGTTTGCTCATCAAATTGATTAGGTTGAAAGAAAGTTACATATTTGCCAGTTTTCAAGTCAACCTTTCTTGGAATGCACGCATCGTGTGATTTCCAATCAACATTGCTTGAAATTCGTTAAATTCTACAATTTTTAATCAATAAAACAGTGTATTTAAAAAATATGTTAGACGGTCTATTTTAATTTATTAAAGAGATGTAACACGATTATTAGGTATTTAGGTTCTTCTTTACAAAGTATATTGATAAAAAAAAAATCATTTTACATCATGTATACGAAGAAAATTTTGTTAGAAGATAAATTTTAATTTTGGTAATTTTTATACTAAAAAATATATATATATTCAACAACTTATCAAAACATAGGAAAATAGCTTGGGTGTCTTGGGATGATGTGTGTAAAGAAAAACATTATGGGGGTTTGGATGTGAGAGATTTTAGATCTTTTAATTTAGCTTTATTAGGGAAGTGGAGGTGGCGTTTGTTAGTGGAGAGAGATTGTATGTGGGTTAAAGTGATCACTTCTATTTATGGGGCAGTGACTTCTTTGAATAGAAGAGGTGGCCGTGAAGGAGTATCTAGATGGTGGTATGACCTGTGGAATATTAAAGAGGGTGCAACATTTACATGTAATTGGTTTTCTAAGGAGTGTGTGAGAGTAGTGGGGAATGGTAGGAACACTTCCTTTTGGAGGGATCCTTGGTGCACTACAAAACCTTTTTGTGAGAGGTATACTAGGTTGTTTTCTATCTCTAACAATAAAGACATGTCTGTGGCAGATATAAAATTATGTAGGGAGGCGGAGAGTGGGTGGAATTGGTGTTGGAGGAGGCAATTATTTCAGTGGGAGCAATCTCAGTTATCACTTTTGATGATGGATCCAACTTGTGTTCAAATGGATGATACAAATGATGATTCTTGGAAGTGGTCAGCTGATCCAAGCGGACTGTATTCAGTCAAGTCAGGCTACTATATAATTGTTAATGCCTCAATTTTTGCAGAAATCCCTCTTCATAAGTTCATATGGTGTAGGCTGTCCCTTCCAAGGTTTCTTGTTTTGCTTGGAGGGTGATGCTTGACAGAATCCCAACCAAAGTTAATCTTGCAAAGAGGAATTTGTTACTATCTTCTAATTCTGGTTGTGTGTGGTGTAATCAAGGTCTTGATACCTCCTGCATTATATTTTTTTAGTGTTCCTTTGCATACCAGGTTTGGATGTTGTGTTTGGAATGGTGTGGCCTCTTTGCTGCTCATCAAAATAATTGCATATCTCATTTTGAGCAGATCCTAGGCCTTCCGAGTTGTGGTGCTAAAAATCAGTACAAATGGGCGGTGATCTGGTTGGCTTCAATTTGGAGTATTTGGTTGGCAAGAAATGAAGTTGTATTTACTAATAAATTCACATCTCCAAATGATCTGGTCGAATTGATAAAACTACGCTATTGGAAGTGGCTGAAAGCTAAAGATCTTGATTTTTACTATCCGTTCTCTTGTTGGTCAAGAGAACCTGCTGCATGTCTTAATATTTATTAAGTTAACTGTATATAGTTTGGAGTACCTCTTATACTCGCTTTTAATATATTTCATTTTGCCTAGAAAAAAAAAAACAACTTATCAAAGATATCTAAGAGTATTCATTGATTCAATAATTTGATAAATTCAATGATATGAACTAAATTAATTAAATTAATTTTGACCTGATTAGATCAAATTTAATCTAAAATTAGAGAATTTCAACATTTATTGATTTAAATAATAGATTTACATTTTGTAAATGTATTAATACCAGAACCCAGCAAACCATGTACCAAATTATATTATCATTATTATTTATGTTTTATTTTCTGATTAGTAATTACAAATTCTAAAATTGTAAAAGAAAAGTAGGACTACTTTGAAGGACTATTTTGAATTTAAATATTAGACTATTTAATTTCTTATTTTTAATAAATTAGTTTACGTCAGTCATTTGTTGTAGTTCAAACAACTTGGTTTGTGTTGGATAATTTGATTTACGTTAGATAAATTTGTTTTTGGTTAGAAACTAAGTCACATTCTAATATTTGTTTATGCATGTTAGTTTATGTTGCTTATATATAAATATTTTTTTCTTCAAATTCTTACATTATTATTTTATTTACACTCAAATATATTATTCACACTCTTTAAATAAAAAAATATATTTAATTCTTTTTGACAAAATCATGTGTTTTTATGTTTTAAAAAACAAAAACTAAGTTTGCATCATTTTAGAAAATCAATTAATCCGAATCAAATAAACTTGTTAATTAATTTGATTATTTTTTTTTTATAAATTTAATCTAAATCAAGCCAATCAAAATTGATTGATTTAAATTTTATTTTATCTTAATATAAATCAAACAGGTCCATGAACATTAGATATGCTTGGTGAAGATAAAAATTAGTCTCTTAATTTTATTCAATTAAATTAAAATTCTATAAATTTATAAAGAAGGTGAAAAGTGAGATAATTTCTTAAATTATTTGGTAAGAAAAAAATACATATAAAATAAAATAAATATTTATAATGAAAATTGAAGTATATGTTTTAAAATAATTATTTCATTAAATATATTAATTTCTATTAGATATTTAATTATCTTTAATGAAATTTTCTTTGTAAATTTTATTTTTTTGTACATAAGATTTAAATTTAAATTCTTACCTATAGGGATATAATTTAGTACGACTTAAACTAATAACTTATTGATAATAAAATAAAAGTATATAAAAGAAGAGTGGAATATTTATAATATTGAATTTAACTACTTTGTTTATGCTTCCTCCCACTCTTGGATGAATAAACATTTATGTAGGGTCCGCATTATTTTTATGTTCCCATTGCAAAGGTAAAACCAATTTTATGAATGGCTTGCACTATCATCCCATTTCGTCTATTCACTCCCTCCGCTTCCTATCTTGCGTTCCCAACCAACAGGATTAGGGTTACACTTACACATACCCATTTACACGCGCCTTCTATCTTCAACCGCCCGAGTGGACTCAGCTCTAACTCAATGAGTCAACCCAACGCTATTGCCACGACGAATGACGCGCCGTCGCAGCCTCAGAACGCGGATGTTCTGGTGCAGTACGTGGTGCTCCGCCGTGACCTGATCGACACGTGGCCGCTTGGGAGCGTGGTCACTCAAGGTTGCCACGCTTCTGTTTCCGCCATTTGGTCCAACAAAGACGATCCTTTCACCGTCGATTATTGCAGCCCCGATAAAATTGATTCCATGCATAAAGTAAGGGTTTTCCCTCTTTTTAATTTTGCTTCTAAATTGCAATGTTCATATTATGCGGTCAATGTGGGTTTTCTAGTTTGTGAATCTGTTTAATTTTGCTTTTTTCGTGGTTGAATTTTTTATATTAAACATGTATTGTAGTATGTCAAGGTTATACCAATCCTAATTTCAACCAAAAAACAACTAATAACAGAATTAATCCTATATTTTTAATTCCCTTAATTTCCTATTATTACATAGTACAACCCTTGCTTTGTATGGTTCCGTAAGTTAGTGTTGTTTGCTACTTCTGCTACAGAAAATGTACGTACATGTCCCTTGGAGTGCATAAATTTCCAATCCAGTGTAATGGCTATGAGTTATTGCTTGAAAGTTGAAACCAACCAGAGTGAATGGAAAATATAGAATGTTGAATTTGTAATGTGGATTTCACCTTATCTCTTTACCTTTAAATAGAGATAGATAGATGGTCGATGTTGGAAGGAACTTTTCTTGAACTTATTTATAGGAACTAGCGCATTGGCATTCAGTTTGACTGTTAGAAACTGGTAGCCTGTGGTAATAAGTATTTGTAGAAAGCATGTTAATGGATGCTGCTGTGCCAGTGTGACTCAAAATGAAATGATGATTAGGGTATCTGTAGTCTGGCTTTTGGATGGTGCTTTTTACCAGGAACAGATGTTCTGGATTTCTATTAGACTTCTACTGCATGCTTGACTGAACTAGAGGTTTTTCAGGTAGAAGATAGATGAAGATTCACCTTGGCCTATGCTTGTTTCCCTCTGGCTTCACCAAATTATTTGATTTTGTCTCAATTAGATTTTGGAGTATGTGTAGAGAAGCGTCTGAATATAATTTTATGAATCATGTGAAATCAAGCTATTTCTTGCACACCCTCTTTAATTTTTGAGGGCGATTCGAAAGCCTTTTGCTTCATTATAGAATTTTATTTTATTTTATTGAACATGAGTGAGCTGTGCTCTCTTTTCCTTCTCTGTCTCGCTAGTATCATAACATAACATTAGGAAAGAAAAAAAACCCAACGAATTAACTGCCAATTTTGGGTTTAGGGTTCTATTCATGATGATTGAGATTTGTTCTCTTCATGGTTAAATTTAGTGTTATTTGCTTGAGGTTTGTCAAATAATTGCTTTTGAAATAATAATTTAACGGCTTTGTTGTATTTTTAGTATTTTTTAGTGATACTTTGGGGTTCTACCCAAAATATCATCCTTTAAATTTACATGATTTTATGCTGGATTGTGCAATATCCTGATTCTCTTGCGCATTGTGATCTGGGATATTTTCAATATATCATTCTGGAATACAGAATTCATTGAGGTCTGATAATATATTAAAGTTGAGAGTACAAATACGCACCTAACATTGCTGAAGTGTGGTAATTGGCAAATATTTTTAGAATTTCATACTTCGTTCTTCAACATTTATATGTTCAATTGGCTATTGATGTTTGTGGATAGCAATTGTGGTTGCTATAGATTGTGCCATTTGACATCAGTTACCTAGTTTAATTTTATACACTTAACTATGTTGTACTTCCTCTGTTTACTTGTGTTAGAACATTTTAAGAAGCTTTTCTTGGTTCTTTTCATAGACTTCTTCCAAATTGTTTACTGCATTAATTTTTTTGCAAAAGTATCCTTAACTGGAGATGCATTAATTAGTTATATTAAAAGAGATTAGGAAAAGGAAATCCCAATAATTTAAGGGTAATTTTGAAAGAAAAAAAAACATATTTGACAAATTTAATACGACTAGCTAAATTTCTTAGTTCTTGTGGGGGTTTTATGTACCGTACCAGAAGCAGTAGTATCTATCTGTGCATATGTTGTTTCTGTTCTGGGCTATATAGATCTGATTGCTTTGTACTAAAGCTGAGTATGTGGTTTATGCGTTAAATGGCTGTTGAACATTGATTGTAGGTTACTTTGGAAGTAAAAGGAGAAACCCAGATCAAAAACTTGTCTGAGAAGCTTACATTAGGTGGGATTATTCACAAACTTTGGATTGAACAACCTGAAAACATACCTACGTGCCTTGCCACAAAACCTTACCCCAAGTCAATCGTATCTTCATATTTTAAGAAGTTGAAACTCTGCAAGTGATTTTTTTGTATTCTTTGCTCTCTCCCCCTAAAATTCACATTAGAGCAAGTTGTAACAATTTGAGCCCGTTTTCTCATGACTTTCGGCATAGTAAAAAAAGAAGGGGGAGTTTTATTTAAATCGTTTTGGGCCTCATGAGACTTTGTTTCTGCAATACTTTTTATTGACGAAATCTGGACTGGGAAGAAGTCTTGCTAATTTTTGGCAAGTCAAACTTCTTTTTTTTTTGCATTCAACGATGAGGCATCCATTTTTTTTTTTTTTGAGTATGGAAAATAAAACAGACTACTTACAAACTGAATAAACGAGACAAGTAAAGCATTATTAAAATGACCATTAAAAGTTCATGATTCATTAATTTTACCGTAACACAAACAGATAACAATAATAAGATGTTTTTTTTTAATATTATATATTATATAAAATAGTGCACTAATATAAAATTATTTATAAAATTGGACAATTTTAAATTCACATAAAAGATGGCGAAGTTATTTATTTGGCCCCTTTATCGTATTTATGGCTTTTAATTTGGTCTTTTACTGGAAAATCAGCACCTTGTGTTTATAAATGCTGACACTTACTAAATCGCACTACATCCGATTTCATTACCAACATGTTGGCATGTCAGTTGACTATCTAGTTAGACTGATTACGTGACGTGAAGGTTTTAAATTTGACCCCTTAAATTCAATTTCGGATTTGAATGTAGTTCCTTGATTTTATTTTGTACCAAATTGGTCTCTATTTATATAAATAAAAATTAACAACATTTGTAATAATCGTCAAAATCTATTACTGTTTGGCGACTTTCTAATTGATTAGTAGTGCAACCCATCGTTAGAATATTTTAAATTCTACAAGAATCTTATTGAGAGGTGAGGGTTTATTTTGCTCCTTTTTTAAAGGATAAAAAATGTGAAAATTCGCCCACCGTGGGGCTCGAACCCACGACCACAAGGTTAAGAGCCTTGCGCTCTACCGACTGAGCTAGACGGGCTTATATGACTAAACTGTTATGTTACCCTGCCTAGTCTATTCCAGTCAGGTTCGTTCATTTAGTGTTTATATTCAATTACTTTCATTGATAATGAATTGGGTAAATATCCATTGTCTCGTAAAATTGACCAGAATTTTTCTCACAAAAAAAAAAAAAAAAATCTTGTATGGAGCAAAATCTTAGTTATGAATTGTGTCATTGATGAATGAGAACTTTCTCAAAGTTAGTAATGAAATTAGATGGATGTGACTATTTTACAAAATTTATTAATATTTGCAAATATAAGGTATTAATATGATACGAAATGAAGGTGATGAACCAAATTGAAGCTCGAAAATCTAGAGAAACAACCAAATTTGAACAATCTTACTTCACAAAATTTGTCCAAGCATACATTCAATAAACACGTCAGCATAAGAAAATTGGATATTATCTGATTGCAAACCTTAATATTTGTAAGGACTAATTTGCCATAAAATAAATATAAGGAACAAATTGAAATTTATATATAAGGTAAGTGATCAAAGTAACCTTTTTGGCAAGAACAACCATATTACAAATTTTTATCGTAAAATATCATAATGATTTATTAATTAATAACTAATAACTAATAATATATATATACAATCATCAAAAATTAATATTACATATACTAAATCTTACATATGATTCTTTATTTATTATAAAAATTTGAGTAAAAAGATTTTTTTTTCCCGATTCTTAATCAAGTTTGATTAATTTTGTTTAGACTGATTCTCTGGTAATTGTTGTTTTACTAATTTTTGGAGCTGTCTAGATGGGTACCTCGATCAAACAAAGTGAACGAATTCACCAATCCAATCTTGTTTCAATAACCTCGCTATAGCTGTATGGTTTTGACTAGAGGTAATTATGTGATAAAGTATAAAATCACATGGATTAAAAAAATTCACATGGAAAAAGGTCTCTACATCTTTTTAAGATAAGATGAGATAAGAGATAAGCGATTGGTACAGCTGATAATATGCATGAAAGGAAACACAAACTAGAAGATCCAGCCATAAATTGTTAAATAATAGCAACATATTCTGATCTACCCAGAAAATAATAAATAAAAGCTGAAGAAAGGTGAGGGTGAGGCTTTTACTGAACGACGAGTTTTCTGGCACAGATGGTGCACTGAAACCTGCGTTTAGTCTTAGAGTAGAAGGGTAGAAAGCAGAAATTCCATTGGCTTTCTACGTCCACGGCTTGGATCATCCCTCCACAGTAAGGACACACCCCCGGTGCTGCCTGTCTTGACACCACCCTCTCATCCTCCCCACACACTAACACTAGACACATAATCTTTCAATAAGTTAAGGTATAAGGTTTTTTGTCTCAGAGAGATTAAGGATTCTTCGAGAGATTTCGACCAGCATGAAACATGTACGGAATTTAATAAGCTACAAGGAGACAACAGTCCACACAAAACGCCTTTTCCCAAAATCCCTTATCAAACCTTTCCTCACCGCCTCATGCCACGTGTCCATTCCTTCCACGTTAAGCCCCAACCTCGATATGGGGCTAATCACTTAATGAATGTTCTTAAAGAGTTTATAATTCTAAATTTAACATATTGAAATATGAAAATCCAAATTATAAGTTCTACAAAGTGTGTACGATTAGTTAAATTATTTTCATATAAAAATTAAAAGTAAAACTATAGCATATCTTTTATATCGTCAATATAGGTGCATAAAAGAAATTAAGAAATCCCTTCAAAAAAAAAAAAAAAAAAAGAAATCGTACAATTTCAACTTACTTTTATTGTGAAGAAAAAACAAGGTGACGTTTGCTCGCCGCCGTCAAATTTGTTGCTACTTGCCAAAGCAGATGTTAATGCGGTGCTAACTGCTCTGCCAAGAAATTCAGGGATTTCGACCGTAAATTAAGATACACACATTACTTTTACCAAAATCAATGATTAAATTATATTCATACGCTCATTCAATCACAGATAATTACGCAACCTCTGTTAATTTCTATAATTATTACTCCTTCCATTTTTTTTCATAGTCATTTTATCAGAGTTTATTTTTTTTTTCATTGTCATATTACTAAAATCAATGAGTTATTAATTTTTTTCTTCCATTTTTATCCTAGATAATTAATACATATTTCCTTAATAATGTGTATATTTATTTTTAATGTCTACCTAATTTTTCTCTAACTACTCATATAAAGTTAATGTGCATTTATAAGAGTAATATGTTCCCAACAAAATACTATATAAAAACAAAAAAGGACAATTATTTAATGGAGTAGTTCTACAGTCTAAAAAATAAAAAAAAAGGTAAAATAGGAAAGTAAGTAATAAATATTTTTTAAAACTTAAATATCAATAATTTCCTTAATTCACGTACAAAACCTTAAATGACTATAAAAAAAAACAGAGGGAGTATTTCAAGAGTTTTATTTAATAATAATGTCAATTTTTTTATAATAGTAATATATGAAAGTTGAATTCTTAGAAAAATATTATTGTGCATCATTTTTAGAAATTTCTTATATATCACACCTTGTTAAGAAAATAAATAAATTCATATAGTGAAAATAGATAACTCAATTCAATTAAGGCTGATGGCTACTTGGATAGCAGAAGAAAGCCCATTCAATCCAAAACAAAACACTGATAGTCACTTCTGATTGGTAGATTTTTTAAATGTCGAAAAGGATAACTCAATTCAATTTCATCATCCTTAATTTGTCAAAAAATAGGTTGAATTAGATTGATTTTATCTTAAAATTAGATTCAAAATCTTAAGTCAATTCAATTATAATAGATTGCTAGTTAGATTATTTCAAAATATGGTTACTTTAATTTTAAACATTATATAATGTAATAATAAAGATATCGTATTTTAATTATAAGTAATATAGGATAAATTATAAAGATAAAAAATTAATATAATTAATTTTATCATAAACTCAAATTTTATTCTAAATACACAATTTACTTTAAGTGATTAATGTTAATTATAGATAAATGTATAAGAAATAAAATTAAAAATAAATAAAAGATATAAAATAAATTTAACTTAAAGTAACTTTAAAAACTAATAATTATCACATATAATAAGGATTAAGGAAAATATAATTTGTTGTTAATAATTAGATCCAAAGAGTATTCTCTTACTAAATTATCTTGCACAAACTCTAAATTCTATGTCAGTTCATGAAATAAAAGAAAAGTTATAAAAGTAAAGTAAGAATTACCAATTTTTTTAGCCTTCAAATTAAATATTAATGGTAACTAAATGAGCAATGGATTTAAGGTTTTTCAAATTATTGTGAGACCTCCATTAGTCTCAAAACAAAGTTGTTAGGTGTTTTTTATGAACTTCAAAAAGCTTGGCATAATGCTAGAGGGTGGAATGGATATATGATAATATAACTTTTAAGATGTTTATGATTGTTGAAGATGGTTTTCAGGCCTTCAAGTTTCTTAACCTCCTCTCGGTCATTTTTCGACAACACATCAGCCTCTAAACCCTTAATAGGTAAAGGTCTCTCACACCAATACAACGAGTACCCCTCGAGTAATCTTTCGTTACCCACCGTACACCGAATCCGGAAGTAAGCCCTCTTAAAATCCTTATATGATTGTAAAGTGTAGCGTAACAAAATGTGAAACGTTCTAGCGGCAAGGCACTAGGGAAACTAACACAGACAGGTTCCCTATCTACACACGGTTCGCAAATAATAATATTACCACCCTCACTACACACTACGTGTTCCCGGCAAAAGCTATCTATGGCAGCACGAGAATTCAGGGATGAATCACATTTCAGCACATCGTCCCTAGCCCATTTATACAAGTCTTTATAACTTACGGTGGGCGAGTATAAATAACTCGAAGACAAAAAGTGGGCTGCACGATGGACGACTATACTTAACACATTCAGATATTGGACGACTTCTTCATACGAGTAATTTGACTGATCGGTGTATGAAAGTTCATTTTCAACTTTCAAGATGTTCCACTTAATTATACGGATCGGAATCCGGTTGATTTTGACAGTTTTTACTTGATTATGTGGATCGGATTTCGGCCGTTTAGTCCATGAAAGTCCATTTTCAACTTAAAAGGGTTCATTTTTAACTTAGACAAGTTTTTGTCATTATTCAAGTCGGCATTTGGACGACCAGTTCCATCAAGTCGGCATTTGGACGACCAGTTCCATCAACTCGGCATTTGGACGACCAGTTACATCAAGTCGGCTTTCGGACGACTAGTTTCATCAAGATTCAATTTTTAACTTAGACAAGTTTTTGTCATTATTCAAGTCGGCATTTGGACGACCAGTTCCATCAAGGTTCACCTTTTTAACTTAGACAAATTTTTGTCATTATTCAAGTCGGCATTTGGACGACTAGTTCCATCAAGTCGGTATTCAGATGACTAGTTCCATCAACATTCAACTATTAACTTAGAAATTTTTTTGTCATTTTTACGATAATTTTATAATTTGTCCATTCTGTATCGGAATTTGGATGACTAAAGGTCAAGTTTCATTTTTCAAACAGAAGGATTGTGAATAATCAATTTTATCCGAATTCACAAAAACAATG